TTTAAAACATAAGCATAGTGCTGTAAATATGCAATTACGGCACGGTAAGTTATCATAAACAGATGAGGTTTTTAGATGAAAACAAGTGATGCAAACATCATGCTTAGATTGTAAATTAACCATATATTATCTAAATTACTCCCATTTTTTAAACCTTAAGTATTTCAAGAGCAACAACATTAGGTATACTATATTGTGTCTTTATAAGGCCCCTATCAGAGAGATATTCAAGAGGATTTTACAGAATTTAAGAGAAGGAAAATTCACACTCCAGTGACAGCATGTTCTCACCAGGCACAGTAACCTCATGGCTTCTCTCCTGCTGTCCTTGGACAGCGAGGGCAGACAGCACTCCGGGCAGTAACTTATCATACAATCATGGAATACCAGGTGGAAAGGGACCTCAAGGATCATCTGGTCCAACTTTTCTTGGCAAAATCACAGTCTAGACAAGATGGCCCAGCTGAATGGGCAGCTGAATCCTAAAGTGTCCAACACTGAGGAATCCACCACTTCCCTGGGAAGATGATTCCAGTGGCTGATTGCTCCCATCATGAAAAATTTTCCTCTTGTGTGTAATCAGAATCTCCCCAGGAGAACCTGGAAATTCTGGGATCATTTCCCTGACAAAAGGCCCAAATAGAAAAAAGTTTCTTGACTATGATTCCCAGCTCTGCCAGGTGGAATTACACCTGAGCCTGTTTTCTTGGTGCACTGGGGCATTGCTCAAACAGGGCAGAGTTAAGGTTCTGTTGTGGGAATGACATTTAAACACATTTTCCTGCATCCCTGTGTGCACATGCTTTAAAGTTCAGCTGCATTTCCGTGTTCTGGGAGGGCATAAAATGCTAACAATAAAAAACAATTAAAAAAACCATTAAAGACATAAAACCACACAAAACATTAAGGCAAGCCGAGCTCTGTGTCAGAATGTTTAATTGCTACAGGGTTTTGTCTGTTTATTCTGTCACATGTTGGCTGCTGCCTTGGCAATGATCCCTCCTCCTCCAGAGCTTGTGGACTGTGGGCTGGTCCTGCTGCTGTTCCTGCATCTCACATCACCACTACAGCCTTTTCCTTGCTCCTCAGGAAAAGTAGATGACAGGATGGGAAGCTGGTGATGGGTTGTATGGAGAGTGCATGGGCTCATGTGGAGTCTTGGGATGGTGCCTGAAGGAGAGACATTAAGGCTTTATGAGGGATGTAAGGGACTTTTGAGAAGTCTCTCCCTGCAGATTTCCCCTTCACACCCTGCATCAGCAGAGCCTTTCCAGGATGCCCCATCTGCTTCAGCTCCCCCAGTCTGCACTTGTGATACACACACACACCCACAGAGACCTTCTCTTCTCAGCACTACCTCTGTGTGACTCAGGTGACTTTAGGGGGACCAGAAGCGGGGAAGGTGACAAGGCTGTGACAGGAGCAGCAGAGAAAGGAGAGTTGATGCAGCCCATGGGCTGGTGCAGAGGTTTGTTCAGGAGACACAGCAGATGGTGGCAGCGACAGCTTTCGGTGTCTCACATCACTCCCACTCATCATCCAGCTCTCCCACACACCTCCACCTTCACGGATCGTAAATGGAGGGTGTGGATGTGGGACAAACAGCACTGCTGCAGGGAGGAAAGCACAGCATCCACAAGCTGCTACAGCAGCTCCCAGCTCAGGGGGGTTGGGTTCAGGGGCAACAGAGCACATCAGCATCACAACAGCCCACCTTGAAGTCCTCTTCCTTCATGAGTATCTCTTGTCCTGCTCTGCACAAACCCCCAGGCTCTCTGCCTGGCCCGGCTGGCAGTGAGCAAATGTCTAGACCCAGCTCACCAGTTAATAGCTTTTTCAATATTCATTTTGCTTCCCTGAGGAAGAAATGGGCCCCATTCACTTGGCTGATATAAATACCCGGGGACAGATATTCTGGGGATATGAGCAGGGTCTCAGTTACACTCCTGGACATGCACAGCAGCTGCCTGAAGAGCAGCTGGGTTTACAGGTGTGGTTATTGCAGGGAAAGGAGAAGGGGAAGATTAGTAGGGAAAAGGAGATGGCTGTTGGGAACAGGGCAAGGCACTACCTTAGGAACCTCTTTCTCAAGTGATCCCAAATTTTCGTTAACACCAACCAAAATCTGCTAGAGACTCCCCTTTCCCAGCCAGGGCATCAAGTCACAAAGGACTCACAAATCACGAACAATATTCATCAGAACACCTTTTATTGATTAAGCCTTTTACTATTAATGGAGTCCACTGCTATTATTAATAGTAGATAACTTCTCACACACTTCACTCAAACACACACACTCCTTCTCAGTTTTCCAGCTGGAGCAACAGCTGGGAGGACAATCCCAGCTTGTACTGATGTGCCAACAGTTTTTAGGTGGGTTTTCACCAAGTGCCTCAAAGGAGGCTCAGGGGGGGACCTCATTGTCCTCTACTAGTACCTGAAAGGAGATTCTAGTGAGATGGGGTCAGTCTCTTCTCCCAGGTAACTAGTACAGGACCAGAGGAAATAGCCTCAAATTGTGCCAGGGGAGGTTTGGATGGGATACTGGGGAAAATGTTTTCAGAGGAAGGGTGGTCAGGGGTTGGGACAGGCTGTCCAGGGAAGTGGTAGAGACACAATTCCTGGAAGTGTTCAAATAGTGTGGATGTGGCACTTGAGAACACGGTTTAGTGGTGAACGTGGTACTGGTGCTGCACTGATGGTTGGACTCGATGATCTTAAAGGTTTTTTCCAACCTTAATGATTCCATGGTTGTGTGAAAGGGTGCCTTGTTTCATCAGGTGTAAGGAAAATCCTCTTGCCTCGGTGGAGCCACCACTTTTCTGGATGCAGAAAGCCCTATTCTGTGGGGCTTATTAATTCCTGGGGGATTTGCTCCCCTTTGGCATGTATTCTCCTTTCTTCAGTCTGTTTTTAGGTAACTGTATCTCCATCCACACTCTGAGGTACTTCCAGAACCCATTCCCACAAACTCATGCAAAGGTGCTTTTGTCACAGGCTGTTACAGACCAGAAACATCACAACCATCTGAGCAAGGCTGTTTCAGACACTTTGGACAACTTTTCTGTGGTGACTGATCCCACCTGTAGCAGAGCTGAAGATTATTTAGAAAAGCTTAACATTTCCTAACCTTGATGGGGTTAAAATCTCAGCCCTAAGTCAAAGTATTTTGTTGTAATATGTAGGTATATACAAACACAGCTTTTTCTTTGCTCCAAAACTGAATAGGATCTTGGTTTCTACACCTGTTGTTTTGTGAGAATCTGAGATAATACAGCATTCTCACAAACTTTACAGAATGTGTCCTGTGATATGGCTCTGTGATTTTGAAAGTCCAAACATTCCCCTTCTTCAAAGTGCAGACAGATGAAGGCAAAACCCAGCTGTACTGCTACAATTAAACACTTCCATGAAAATGGCTAAAATTGAACTGATTAAAATTAGTTGTTGAGGATTCATGTCCCATCAGTTATCTCTCATCACAGCTGATCTTCTGCCTCTCTGATCACCAGTCACAGGCGACTCAGTCTTGAAAGCATGGATACATAAATATCCTGAGCTGAAAGGGATCCACAAGGATCATCAAATCCAACTCCTGGCCCTGCACAGGTAGCCATGGTGGGCTTTATAATTTCTATCCTCACTGTATTTCGAGCTCCTCTCCTTCACTCACCACCTCTCAGCATTGATGTGAGGGGGCTTTTTTGCTCCTGAGACTTTTCATTTCTGTTCAAGAGGAAGGATGCTGTACCCTGAAGGTGCCTACGTATTTAGCCTCATAGAAATGACTACTGCATTAAATGTGGCAGACAGAGGTTGTGCTGCAGGGTCTGTGGTGGGTTTAGTCTTTTGTGGGGGCTTTGGGAGGACACAAGATGGTTTGATGCAGGGCTGGATGGTGTGGACAGGTGATGTCCAGCCCCTCATAAATCAGCTGTGTGATGTGAATTAACAAATCCCTACATCTCAGGCACTTCACTGTGGCTTAAAGCTCGACCAGCTCTCACCCCACGGTGCTGCTGCTCTTTCTGTGTCAGCAATGGTGTGGCAGCAGGACCAGAGCAGTGACTGTCCCCCTGTGCTGGGCACTGCTGAGGTTGCACCTCAAATCCTGGGGTCAGTTTTGGGTCTCTCACGACAAGACATTGAGTTACTGGAGGATGTCCAGAGAAGGGAACGGAGCTGGGGATGGTCTGGAGCACAAGTCCCATGAAGAGCAGCTGAGGGAGCTGGGGGGGGGCTCAGCCTGGAGAAAAGGAGGCTCAGGGGGGACCTTCTGGCTCTGCAACTCCCTGACAGGAGGGGGGAGCCAGCTGAGGGTCGGGCTCTGCTCCCTGGGAACAAGGGACAGGATGAGAGGAAATGGCCTCAAGGTTGTGCCAGAGCAGGTTTAGATTGGATATCAGGAATAATTTCTTCACAGAAGGGGTTGTCCATCCCTGGCACAGCTGCCCAGGGTAGTGTTGGAGTCACCATCCCCGGAGGGCTTTAAAAGCCGTGTGGATGTGGCACTTGGGGACGCGGGTTAGTGGCGAGCTTGGCAGTGCTGGGGGAGCGGTTGGACTCCATGGTCTCGGAGGGCTTTTCCAACCTAAACGAGCCTGTTATTTTACGATTTTCCTCGGGCAGAAGCAGCCCTAGCTCCGCGTCCCCTCACGGCAACGCGGTCGCCTCACACAGGCCCCGCCCCCTGTCCTCACACGGCCACGCCCACAGAGTGATCCCGCCCACGAGCTCCCGGCCCCGCCCTCCCCCGGCCCCACCGCCCCTCAGGCCCCTCCGCGGTCCCGCCGCCCTTCCCGCCGCCGGCGCGGAGCTGAGGGGAACTCACCTCGCACCGCCCCCGTCGCCGTCACCGCGGCGCTCCCGGACACTCTCAAAGCCCAGTGGGGTGGGCGGGAGCGGCGGCGCGGCTCCCACTGAGGCGGCGGGGCGGCGGCGCGGCGGGCAGGCGCCGAGGGCAGCCCGGCGCGCCGCGGGGTAGGAAAGCCCCGCGGAGCCGCGGCGGAGGAAGGAGGAGGAGCGGGAGGGGAGGGAAGGGAAAGGGAGGGAAAAGGGAAGGAGGGAGGGAGCGAAGGGCCGCGATGCCGCTGTACGAGGGGCTCGGCAGCGGCGGGGAGAAAACCGCCGTGGTGATCGACCTGGGACAGGCCTTCACCAAGTGAGTGCCCCGCGCTGCTGCCGGGATTTGGGGTGTTCGGCCTGGAGAAGGGAATGGTGTGGGCAGAGCTCGGAGCCCTTTCCAGTGCCTGACGGGGCTCCGGGATAGTGGAGGGGGACTTAGTACAAGACATGGACCGACAGGACAAGGGGGAATGGCTTCCCACTGCCAGAGGGCAGGATTAGATTGGATAATGGGAAGAAATTCTTGGCTGTTAGGGTGGTGAGGCCCTGGCACAGGTTGCCCAGAGAAGCTGTGGCTGCCCCATCGCTGCAAGTGTCCAAGGTCAGGTTGGACGGGGCTTGGAGCAACCTGGGCTAGTGGAAGGTGTCCCTGCCCATGGCAGGTGGGTGGAATGGGATGATTTTTAAGTTCCCTTCCAACCCAAACCATTCTGGGATTCTAAGAATAATTATGCGGGGTTTTCCCCCTCACTCCCTTTCTGTGTCGACCAATGTGGTGCAAAGCCAAAAATAACAGATTTGGGTTTTAATCTGATGTTTTAGGTTAAAAAAAGGTGTAGCTTGCAGTTGAGGCAGAAACACTCAGGTGTTTATTTAGTAAATTCATCTCGTGGCCCAAAAGTGCAGCTTTGCCTCTGCCCTCCCCTTGTCCAAACACCCCCTTGTGTTACAAACCCCCCTCGTGACAAAGGGGCTGTTTAAGAAAAGTTAAAACTGTCTGGAAATGCTCTCTGGGTGTCAGTGAGCTGATTATTACTATTATTATTATCTTACAAGATTAATTCTCCCTTGAGCTCTGAGCACTCTTACAAGGCTTGTGGCCGTGTCCACGTGGATTTTTCCCTGCTGGAAGCCCTGGGAAGTTCCCTGGTTGCCAAAACAGGCAGGAATCGCAGGGGACAGGGTCCCTTGTCCAAAACTGGTTTATTATTTAGTTTTATTTGTTTGGGGTTTTTTCAAGTGACAGTGTAGTTGCAGACCAGCAGCAGCTTTGTTACCCGGGAATGAGAGGATTTAACAGGATGGAAACAAGTGATTCCAGGAGTGGCTTTTTGTGGATTTGTGCCCTGTGGCCAGTCAGAGGCTTTTCCCAAATTTAGGATGCTTGTGAGGTTTATCCCCTGGGCGTAATTTATCCAATAAAATACTCCCATGGGAAAGCTTTTCCTCTTTTTTTTTTTAGGGCCTGTTTTCAGCTTTCATTCTTGTAAAGAAATAACAATTGCATGAGAGATGTCTCTGTCCATCTCCAAATAAGGCTGAAATCAGCCAAAAATTCAAAAGTTGTCAGGATGACAGGCAGGGAAAACTTCCTGTGCACACTGGGACTGCACAGGAATGTTTTGGGAGACTGAAGAAAATAATTAAATTCTGAACTGTGGCCATTTTAATTTTTTTTTTCTGAGATGATCCAACACGTTGACAGTTGTCAACTATGAAAATCAAATATTAATTGACCTTCTGCATTAAAAGAGCTCCAAGTCCAGCAGCTTTTTGGTTTCCTACTGTAGTTTTCTTCTGAGGTTTGGCAGAGGTGAAACAAATCTCAGACACTGGGTTTATTAAAATAAATTGAATTTCTTTTGGTTTTAATTTCCTTTCTTCAGTCCCTTGTTCTTGTGTGTTTTGGGAAGAGCAGGTGGGTTTCTGAAAAGTTTGCTTGGGGATTGCTGCTATTTTTATCTTGTTGGGATAAATTAAGGGAGTCAATAAAAAAGATATAGAATCTTTCTCTATCTTTTAATCCATCTGTAAATGGCCAGATAGAAAATCTTTGTGCAGAACACCCCTCTGCAGTCCCAGAAACAGCCCTAATTCATCACCCTCTGATGGTTCCCAGGCCCAGTGTGTTAAACAGTGACTTCAAATATTAAAGTTTTCTGCATTTTCTTTCAGGTGTGGCTTTGCAGGAGAAACAGGACCAAGATGCATCATCCCCAGTGAGATAAAGAAACCTGATGTCTCAAAGGTGAAATGTGTTACCTCAGCTGCTTTGTAGTGTTTGGTGTGTTATGAGATAGAAAGGATTTGCAGGTGCTTTTTCTGTCCATCACAGGCTGGTTTTTTCATTGTCTGAATAAAATATTCTGGAATATTAATATATTTTTCAGTATTTTAACTGCTGCTATTAGAAGCTTGTGACTTGATACAAGTGATGTGATGCCAATGCTGATTTAATTTGGGGTATTTTTTTGAGAAATTGCTTTGCCTAGTTAAAGCTTTTTATACTTTCTTTTGGTAGAGAGTGGAGGTTTGGAAAACTAATGTTAAATTGCCTGTGATAGTAATAGTGAGAAATAATTATAATAATGCAAAATTAGCATTGATAAACTCTGGAGTTTAGTTATAGGCTGAGTTTCTGAGGTGCTTTAAGGACAAAGAGCGAGTTTTTCTGTATATATAGTGCCAGATGAGGTATGTTCAGGTAGAACATATTCTGTATATATCATATTTCTTCACATACCCTGTGTATATTTACATGTAATCACTGACTGTGGATGTTTTCCCTTCCCAGCCTGTCAGGGTGGTTCAGTACAACATTAACACCGAAGAGCTGTATTCCTACCTGAAGGAATTTATCCACATGCTGTATTTCAGGTGAGAGATCCCTGGCTGGCAGTTCCTCAGGCCCCTCCTGCAGCTCCTTTCTGAGCACCTGGGGAGCTGTGAGGAGGGTCACTGAGCTCTGATGGGTAAGAAAACAAAAAAAAACCACAAACAGGACTTTAAAAGCAGCTGCCTGGCTCTGTTCTTGCAGGAGAAGTTCAGTGCTGCTGAGATTTGGGTTGTATCCCAGCGAGCTCATGTCCTTGCAGCATCATTTGCTCTCTAGAAATAGAAATTATTTGATAAGTTGCCCTTTTAACTGTGCCATTTTTAAAGGACTCAGTAAGGGGAAGTCATTACCCAGGAAGCTGCATTGATTCTGGTCGGGCTGGAGCTCATCCTGTACCAGTGCAGAGCTCTCCACAGTGCTTTGGAAGGAGGAATCTTAATCTGTGGAATATTTTTACCTCAACAATACCTCTTTTTATTGTATTTTTAGCACACTTAGCGAATAACAGCGTTGGACTTGGTCTTTCCTCTTTGCTTCCAATCCTTATTTTTACACAGTAAAAAACCCTCACAGGGAAACCAGTATTTGATTTCTGGGCCTCAGATCTTCTGGTGTGGGTTGGGTTTTCTTTTCTTCTCTTGTCCTTGGCCGTTGCTTTGTAATTGAGATCACGACAATTCCTTTCTCTTCCACGGAAATCAGAACATCTGTATCATCATTCTCAGTCTTTTATGATGCTGTGTGATACTGAACAAGCCAGCAATGACTTATTTTTGCATTTCTTTATATTGATTTAGAAGTATATAGTGGATATTCAGAACTACAAGCTCTATTTTCCATACCACACCTTTCTTAACTTTTTTCGAGGAAAGCGTTGGGGTTTTTTATATTTATATTGGGATCTTCTGTAGGAAATGCTATCTAAATGCAAATGTTTAGGATTTTTTTGGGGGAAAATGGAATATGAATATAAGGTAGGTCTAAAAATATGTGCCTGAACTTCTCAGTTTTGGTTTACATGTCTTGCCCCTTTTTTAGGCACCTGCTGGTGAATCCCCGAGACCGGCGTGTCGTGATCATAGAATCGGTCCTGTGCCCTTCCCACTTCAGAGACACCCTCACAAGGGTCCTGTTCAAGCATTTTGAGGTACATGTTTTCCAGAAACATGTAAATTTGCCCCACGTGCTCAGTGTAGCACTTCTCAGTAGAAATTGTGCTTACAGTCGGTGCCAGATGTGGACCAAGAAATGAAAATAGTGCCAAAAAGAGCGAGAGAGGCCTAAAGAAAAAACATCTGAGGAAACAGAGCTTGGAAGTTGGTTTAAAGGCCATTTTTGTTCCATTCTGGCTCTTCATGAGGCCACAAAGCAGCAGCAATTAACAAGACTCTGAAAGGTTTCTCTGGCTTATAGGATAATAGAGCTCCCATCCCACTGTCCCAGACAGATCCAATAATCCCCACTGAGCGCTGCCTGGAGCCAGGATTTATATTTAAACACTTGTTAGTGCTCTGTCAGCCAGTCTCCTGATTTCTGCCAGCATCAATAGCTCTGCCTGGCACGTGAGCTGAGCTCTGGCTGTGCTCATTTAGATAAGAGCTTACCTGAAATTAATTATCTTCTCTGCCTAATGAGTGTTTTTAATGACGATTTGTTGAAGCAAAGAAGTTGTGGGTGCTCCATCCCTGGAAGTGTCCAAGGGCAAATTGGACGGGGCTTGGAGCAACCTGGGATAGGGGAAGGTGTCCCTGCCCATGGGATGATCTTTAAGGTCCCTTCCAACCCAAACCAGTCTATGATTCTGTGAAAAGTCTGAAGCTAATTCTGGCTTAGAAAATGTTTTGGAAGGTGATTCCATACTTTTTCAATTCAGACAGAACAGAAGTTAAGGTTCTTCTATAAAAATCAGTGAAACTTTGTCTGCAGTACCTCTTCACTGTGCTTCCACAGCACAGTTACCAACTAATGCTAAATTTCTACATAATTCTTTCTTACTATTGATACAATTTTCTGATGACTTGAAATTGCTGAAAGATTTCAGTGATTTGTTTGAGGTTTTTTTTCCGAATTCCCTTACAGGAGTAAAATGTGTCTCAGATAAAGCACATCCCATCCAAAGTGGTTTGGCAAAAATTACTCATGACTTCAGAGTCATATTTTGATGGAAACACCTTGTAACTTGTGAGGAAGTCAGTTAATACTGATGGGAGGTTAATTCTCTCTGGTTTCTCTTTCCATTTGGAGCAAAGAATAAAAGTGGTTTATTAATACAGGCTCAGTATTCCAACTCACACCTCTGAGCTAAATGTCAGTAATGTTGCCCATAAATGCAGGATTTATTGATATTTCTCATTTAATTCACACTCCAAGGTGTTCCATTGAAGGAACTGTTGCTATCTGGGAAACTTGATTTGTGGAATTCTGGGAGAAGGAAGTAATTCTTATGTAATTTTAACCTGAGTTTCCACATTTTTGTTCACATCTTCAAGTCTTTATGCAGCTTCTCAAGTAGCTGTGTATTAATGTCTTTTCAGTGACAATAAGAAACCTGATATAAGACTTAAGATGGGTTGAGTGGTTTGTTTCTTTTTCCCCACTCCTGTGAACTGTCCTTTTGGTTTCCATGTAGGTTCCATCTGTTTTGTTTGCTCCAAGTCACCTGATGTCTCTCCTGACCCTTGGGATCAATTCTGCCATGGTGCTGGACTGTGGATATGCAGAAAGCTTGGTGCTACCTGTATCCTTGAATTTTCAGCAGTAAGGCTGTTGTGCCAAGATGGGATTTTTCTAGACTTCACTGATAGGAGCAGCTCAACCAGTCTGGCTTTTGGCTGTGGGATGTCACAGCTTGGGGAATCCCTTCACAGCTGAAGTGGGGCATCTGTGCTCCCTCAAACCTTGGGAAGTGGGTTCATGACTTCAGCCTTTATAAACTAGAAATTAGTTTTGGAGAAAAGCCAGTTGGAAAGTGTTTCTAACAGCTAATGCAGGGGGAAAAGCATTTAGTTCCAGCAGACTGAAAACTCATGACAGAAAAAAAGGAGAATTTCCTGATCTTCCTGTAGATCTATGAAGGAATTCCAATCCTGAGCTGCTGGGGTTCCCTGCCCCTGGGAGGAAGGGCCATCCACAAGTAAGTTCACAGTTATCCACAAATTATTTATTTGTGAAAGTTCATCTTTGATTCATGAGCAGAGATTCTTGTTTTTAAATCATAACTTGCTGCAACATCGTCCAGTTTTTAGAGTTACCACTGTTTGGCTTTCACTGATGTGGTAAAAGCTGTGGAAATCAGATCTTGTGAAGTTTGTATTTAGAAGGATGTGACTGAAAGGGGTAAATATTGCCTGTTAAGGGTAGTACAGAGAACCAGGCTGAGTTCTTGGCTGTCTTTAACTACCTTTGTGCAATGTTTTAGGGAGCTGGAGTATCAGTTGCTGGAGCAGTGCACAGTGGATACAGGATTAGCCAAAGGACAGAGCCTTCCATCTGTGATGGGTAAGGTCTGGGATGTGGCAGATGTGCTGTGAACTTGCACCAGGGAAACTGGGTTGATACTGACAGTGAACAAAATGAGTTTAATAATCACTGCCTCTTGTGTCACCCACAAGGATGAATTCTTTCCTTGTATTTAACAGGTATATTATTTTTATGATAAGCCACTCATAACAGCAGTTTTGGATAAGGGCTGAGGTAAACTTCTGTAGTAATTTTTCCCATCAGTTCTGAGGCAAGACAAACACCTTATTTCACTTCTTAATATCCTTTCTTCCTTGGAAATCTTTAAAATCTTGGAAATCTTTAAAAGCTGCCCCATCCTTGGAGGTGTTCCAGGCCAGGCTGGGTGGGGCTTGGAGCAACCTGGTCTAGTGGAAGGATGTCCTTGGAACAAGGTGATCTTTGAGGTGCTTTCCAACTCCAACCATTCTGGGATTCTATGATTCTGTGAAAGTGAAAATTTAATATATTAAATGTAATTCAAACTTAGTTTCATTCTCCTTCTATTTAAAAAAAAAATAAATGTTTAATTCTAAGTTATTTTTTTCATTTCAGGCTCAGTTCCAGAAGACATAGTAGAGGACATAAAAGGTAAGATTATTTTTTTTTGTTTTGCTTTGTGAAATTCTGGTTTATTAACTTGTGCATTAGAGTATGATAATAAGATTGCAATATTTTACATTTAGGACATTATTTCCCTTCTCTGTTTGCCATATTTCTTACCTGCTGGAAGAACCTGTGGTGTTTTTACTCTTTGAAAGCAAAACCAAAACTGTGTGTTGAATTCCTCTTTCAGTTCAGCCTGTGTGTTGTTGGGATGGAACTTGGAGATGGATTTGGTGGATGAGCACAGAGAGAGGATTGCACTGTTGTGGAGATTTGTTTGTAGATTAACTAGAAAGACTCAGTTTGCTTTAAAGTTAATTAAAAAAAAAAGGTATGTATAAAAGACATTTTGGGGTGTTAGTCAGGTAGGCAAGATGAGACAAGGACTACATTTATATCAGAAAAAATAGAGTCTTTCATTGAGCAGAACTTGGATGAATTCCTGTGTAATGTTTCATGTGCTAGAGATATAAAAATATATATTAACCTAGAAAATAGCAATTAGGATATATATCTTGGACCAAATACGGAAGAAATCCACTGGTCAAATGCAAAATAATTTGTCAGATGGAAGTTGCTTTTCTAATTCCTGGACTTGAGGACAGTTTTCTGACCAGTCCAGGTTTTTAGGCAGTCTTTTGGAAGCAGATGGAACACACTAGGGATGGAATCAGGGTTGTCTGTGTATCGGAGGGTTGTTTCTTTGGAACAGCAGTTTATGAAGATGCTCATCTGTGCCAGATACAAATAAATAAGTATATAATAACAGTTGCAGCTGGGATAGCAATGAGATTGTGCTCTGTCAGTGTTGCCTGGAGGAAAAAAAAACCCCTCTGGAATTCTTAGGGTGCTGAGAAGTTACACCAGGACAAATACTCCATGATTGCAGCTTGTTCAGGAAAAGGGCAGTGTCTCATTTGAAGTGGTGGTGCAAGACCTGCAGTGGAGCGTTTGACAGCAGGGTACAACCCCTGACACCTTGTGGTGGCTGAAGGCACCATCAGGAACATCCCTCTGGCTTTAAATCTTTTGTGGTTTGGCTGAGGAAGAAATCCTGCCTGTCCTGGCGTGGTTTGGGTTCAGCTGCGTTTAAACTCACGGTCAGACACCATCTGAACTCTGCTGGAGTGTAGAGACTGCTTTTCTTTGCATTTGTTTGATAATGGCTTGGACCAGCAAGGGCCTGAATTGTGTGTTGTTTTCTAAATTGGAAAAAAATTAGTCTTTATTGGTGATTAAAAGATCCAAGACAGCCTCACTTTGCCCTTTCCCTCTGTGCAGTCCGTACTTGCTTTGTGAGTGATCTCCAACGTGGGCTGAAGATCCAGGCAGCCAAGTTCAACATTGATGGCAGTGCTGAGGTGAGTGGAGGATGAAGCTCATCCTCCTCTTTATGAGGGGGCTGGAGCCTTTTTGGCCTCTAAAATATCACCCTTGTGTTTTTGTTTCCAGCGTCCTTCACCACCTCCAGACGTGGACTATCCTTTGGATGGAGAAAAGATTCTCCATGTGGTTGGCCCCATCAGGTGAGAAATGCCAGAACAGGGTACTGATCACTGTGAGGATATATCTCAACTCTAAAAGCACATTAGTTTGCATAAAATTGAGTTTTAATGAAACACTTGCATATGCTTTTAGTGCCTCCTAAATAAAGGATTTATGCTGGGCAGAGTCCAGACCCAGCATGGGAGGTGGTGGCTTCTCCAGAGCTCAGAGAGGAAGGTGAGAGCAAGGAGATTGGAGGGGTTGGGGAGGAGAAATGGGTGTTTATGCCTGAGGATGAGACAGATTTAGTGACATGAATGAGGAATTTTAGCCTGGAGAAAAGGAGGCTCAGGGGAGACCTTTTCACTGTCTACAATTCCCTGACAGGAGGGTGGAGCCAGGTGAGGGTTGGTCTCTTCTCCCAGTGATAAGTGACAGGATGAGAGGAGATGGCTTCAGGTTGCACCAGGAGAGGTTTAGATTGGAGATGAGGGAAAATGTCTTCATTGAAAGGGTTAAGTGTTGGAACAGGCTGCCCAGGGAAGTGGTGGAGTCTTTTCCAATCTTAAGGATTCCACGATTGTCCCCTCCCTGTTGGCACTGCCCAGTGCATGGGCTGTGTGACAGAGGTGACAATGTGCTGGCAGCAGGAAGTCTGAGGTTATCTCAGCTCTGCTGTTCCTGAGTTCAGCTCACAGTGTGGTTTTGCTTCTTGTTAACACTCACTTTCCTGCCTGTTCCACAGAGACTCCGTGGTGGAAATACTGTTTGAACAGGATAATGAAGAGACATCTGTTGCCACTTTGATCTTGGATTCCCTCGTTCAGGTATCTTTGTATTAAACAATTTATGGAATTCCTCCAGCCTTGGAGATCCTGCAGTTATAAATGACTCAAGACTCTGAGTCCTGCAGGCTGCTGGTTTACCTGAGCTGGAATAAAATTAATTTGGACATCTTTATTACAGGCAGCATATTGGATTTAGTGCAGAAAATTTTCTTGGCATATACAAACACTGCAGTTCTTATTATATTTAGGAAAAAAATGCATTAAAAACCCACTATAAATGGAAATTTTCATTATGTGGTGATGGATGTGTGTTAATTAAAGTCGACTCCCTGTGGTTATTGATGCCATTTAAATAAAGTTGCTGAGACATAATTTATTGGAGAGCCACAGACTTGGGCTGACATGACAAACACTTCAATTAGAATTCCTTATGCAAACAAATTGTTTAAGGAGATCTGTGCCTGGACCCCTCACCTCTGCACCTCCAGGCATTTCCCTCTGGCTTATGTTGATTATGTTCCAGTTAAACATGGGAAAACAGCAATTGGAGGGCATGGAAATGGACTGAATGTCTAACAGACCTCTGAATGCACTTCAAGTTCAGGCAATTCCAGTTAAAATTATTTTTTTGGGTTTTGTTTTTTCTTTTTCTCTCCCTGTTTGCATTAGTGCCCCATAGACACCAGGAAGCAGCTGGCAGAGAACCTGGTGGTGATCGGGGGCACCGCGATGCTCCCGGGGTTCCTCCACAGGCTCATGGCAGAGATCAGGTACCTGGTGGAGAAACCCAAGTACAAGGAAGCACTGGCCACCAAAACCTTCAGGATTCACACCCCACCCGCCAAACCCAACTGTGTGGCCTGGCTGGGAGGTAAGAATGTGAACAACTGAGGGGCGAAGGTGAAAACAAACCTTCCAAGTGAGGTTTGTGATGAATAAATAGCAGGACAAACGAGGTGAAGTGTTGAAATGGAGCTGCAGTGAGCTCTGGGGAATTGTTAGTGTGTGTGTGGGGTAAAGCTCTCTCAGGGATGTTGGGAGGGCACTGAGGGTTGTGGGAGCTTTAAACAGGTGAGGAGCAGTTGGAAACAGGCAGAAGGTGAGGTGCTGGCTCAGGTGCAGGACAGAGCTACTTCCATACTAACAAGGCAGAGCAGAGATTCCTACTTGTGAGATAATCTCCTTATGGAAAAATCAAGTTTAATCACTGATGGAGGAGCTATGGAAAGGCTGCCAACTCCCTGTGCTGGTTACAAGTGCCAGTAACAAACACCATAAACTTTTAGTTTTCAAACCTCTTATTTTTAGGATTAGCAAACCAGGACAGTTTCTAGGCACCCAAGTTCTTGATGCTTTTCTTCCCTGGCAGCTCTGGTCAGCTGCCACGGGCTGGGCCTTCTCACAGCCTGTGTGAAGTTGTGGGACATCTTTTTGGGGAGAGGAAATTGCCTTGAAATTGCCTTGAACAACCCCCTACAAAAGGGGTTTGGTTGAAATGCTTAAAATAAAAACTTTTAGGAAACTTTGTCATAAGAAGTTGGTTAACCAGGCCAGGTTTGCTGTCAGCAGAGAGTTAGATGATTCTTTGTTTTCAGTTACTTTCAAGGGACATAAATGGAAGCAGTTTGGGATTAGCTGGGCTACTGAAAAGGAAAGCAGCTCTATCCTTTCATTCCTTTAATTTGTGGGACAGAGCTGGAAAAGCCCAACCAGCTGAGATTCTTGATGGGAAGAATTAGGGAATGAAATTCAGTACATCAAATGAATGCAGGTTTTTTTCTTCCTTCCCAATAATGCAGGAGCCATTTTTGGAGCACTCCAGGACATCCTTGGGAGCCGATCCGTGTCCAAGGAATATTACAGCCAGACAGGCCGCATTCCCGACTGGTGCTGTCTGAACAATCCTCCTCTGGAAATGATGTTTGATGTTGGAAAAGCCCCCCCCCCGTTGATGAAAAGGGCTTTTTCTACAGAGAAATAAGCACCTACACGTCACACAAGGATCCTGCACCCTTTCAGATACACGTGCATTGGGTTTCGGTTTTTTTACGAAGTACTTTGTGTGTAACACTGTTAAATATCAGCAACCTGGATGTTTTCAGGGAGTGTAGGCACTAACACTATTTAAAAACATGGCCAGTTATAGTTTCAAAGCTTCTCTCTGGCAACTCCTGCGTTCTTTTGTCTTGTTCTGAAGAAATTCTGCACTGTCATGAGTTGTACCCTCCTGAGTTGTTTGTTATTTATCTGTATAGTAAAATGGCACTGCTGAGAGAATTTGTTTTGAGAGATTTTAATTTTAAATATGCTTAGAAGAAGGAGGGGAAATATCTATGGAAGGAAAATATCTGTGGAAGGGGTTTTTTTCTGCCACGTTCTGCATTAAAATATTCCACCCTCACCTGTGAGGAAGTGGTTTGGGGCTGTTCAGCAAAGGTGGTGGGACATTATTTCCCCTGTTTTGAGAGTTTTAGCAGAGAACTCTTGTGCCTGTAGTTCTGATGTAATGCTGAGCTGAAAATTCTTCCAGTATCTCTCCTCCAAGAAAGATTTCAGAATTATAAATTGTAATAAATTATTGCAAATTAATTGTAAACAGGGGTGTGAGGGCAAAGTTGACTCACTTGCTGTTCTGTTTCATATGTGCTTTGCCTTAACACATGGTGTTAGTTGGCACATGGGAGGAGATGCTCCCTTTTAATTTAATGGTTTTCAAATGAAAAAAGCCCCAAAACCCAGGAACTGCTGTTTCCAGTGTTAGAGTCTGTGTTAGGTGACACTTTGCTGGTTGGTGACAGAGGTCTCAGAGTACTGCCAGTGATTTCTCCCCAGAGGTGCTGGCAGAAGCTGTGGTTTTACATTGCCTTCTTCCCACTTCGGATGAGCTGTGTGGCTGTTACACAGAAAGCACGGAAAAACAGACAGGGGGAGCTGTGAGAAGTTGTTTTGTAGTCATGGGATGAGGTTGGTTTTTTAGAGACCATGTTCTGGTGGAATTCCAGGCTGGATAAACGGGCGCTGTCCCTGTGCCAGACGCAGAGCCAGCCTCAGGTGTACAGAACACACAGGCCCCAGGCTCTGCTGCTCATTTTCAGTTATAATTTGAGTATTTTGGGCTGCACCTCTGTGACCCAGGTCATGTTTTACCTCAATAAGAACTGAGCCACAGCTTAGCAAGGCTTGCTCCCGAGAGGAGAGTTTTCCATCAGCACAAGCCCTGTGGAGCTGGGAGGGATTACTCGTGTCCGTAAGGTTCTCAGAGGGAAGGATGAAACTCCTATGGAGCCCGTGGTCGTGGTGGTGCAATGATGTCATTTTCCTGAACTGCAGCAGACTGCAGCTGAGGAAATTCAGGATATTCTTAGCCTTTTTCAGGATATTCCTGTGCTGCTGTGCACATGTACCCTGGAACTCTCCTGGCGTGTTCTGCGACCTTGTCTTCGTTCTGCCCACACAAATCCTCTCCTGTGGGGTTTCTGCATCACTGAACAGCTCCAACAGCTGCTGTTTCTGGCAGGACCAGAATTCCTGGCTCCCGTGTTACTGCTGGGCTGAAGTGCAGAGTCCTGGGACCTGTTAAGGACATAAACACGATTCTTAGTTCATGGAAGGGGTGAGAAAGACTATTAATGGCTTGCCCTGGGAAGCCCTTGGAGATCACACCCTAAATGTGTAATCATGTAGAGAGGGGGTTGGCTGGTTTTTTTCCAGCCTGACTGTTGTAGTTCTTCCCTCCCTGGCACGGCAGAGATCCATGGATCCTCACAGCAAATTCACAGTGAGCACACGTGATTTATCCTGAAGGACAGTGGCAGGCACAAACCTATGCAGTAACTGGAGGATTTTCCTCTAAAGTCCCTGGTTCTGGACTGGATGCCATTCCATAAGATGGGTGCTAACCAACTGCAAACAGCTCCAGCTGAGTCCTGCTGACAGGAAGTATATTTTATAATATTTACAAGCCTGTTATGTCTGCCTGTGTCTGTGCTGTGTCAGTGGGAGCTGGTCCTTGGGAGAAGAGGCTTTACCTCGTTCCCCTCCTCTCCCTTTTCATGGAATTAGGGAATATCTTAAGATGGAAGGGACCCCATAAGGATCATAATACCATAAGTTATAAGTCACCACGAGTCCAGGTCCCTGCAGGACTACTTAAACTAAATCGTGTGGCTGAGAGCATCATCCAGAGCTCCTTGAGCTCTGACAGGCTCGGGGTCCTGAGCACTTCCCTGCAGAGTCTGTTCCAGTGATGGACCAACCCAAACCACAGAGTCCCGGAATGGTTTGGGTTGGAATGGGCCTAAAAGGCATCCAGTTCCAATCCCCCTGCCATGGGCAGGGACACCTTCCACTGTCCCAGGTTGCTCCAAGCCCCATCCAACCTGGCCTTGAACACTTCCAGTGATGGGGCAGCCACATCTTCTCCAGGAAACCTGTGCCAGGGCCTCACCACCCTCACAGGGGAGAATTTATTCCTCCTGTAAAACCCCAGATCTCTTTCCTTGTGGCTGCTCTTCAGCCCTTCCTCCCCTAGTTTGTGTGTAACCAGGGTTACCCCATTCCAGGTGGAGAATCCCACCCTGGCTCTTATTAAATTTCCCCAGGCAGTTGCTTTCCCAGCTCTCCAGGTTGTCCAGGTGTCTCTGTAATTCCTCCCTGCCCTCGAGGGCACCCACAGCTCCTACTTCATTAACGTATTAATTTCTCCGATTCCTGCATCCCGCTCATTTATTAAATAAAGCAATTCTTTTTCAGGGATGCAATGTTTAGTAGCCAGCGCCAGGATTATCACAGCTCCTGCTTTATTATGTGCACGTCATTCCTGCATCAAAATCATTTATTAGAAAGAGCAATTTTTTTCAGGCATGCAGCGTTCAGTGCCAAGGTTATCCCAGCTCCTACTTTACTGTGTACACGTCACTGCTGCACCCAGCTCACTTATAAAAAGTAATTTTCTCAGGGATAACAGTGTATTAATCACTTCCACAGACTATTTGTGGGATTCCCTCAGGACCCTCCCGGGTTTTCGGAGCTCTGGCGGTGAATCCCCCTCAGGGATGGTAGGAGAGGGTGGCGAGCCGGTATTTTCCAGCCGGGAGCGCTCTAAAAGAGCGAGGGGAACAAAAGTAACGCTCCCAGCGTGGAGCAGGCTGTGAATCCCCCTCAGGGATGTTGGGAGAGGGTGGTGAGGCAGCACTTTCCCGCCAGGAGCGCTCCTAAAGAGTGAGGGGCACAGGAGCGCTGGGCCCGAGGCGGAGCGGGGGGCTGAATCCCCCTCAGGGATGGTGGGGCGGCGTTTTCCCGCCGGGATGCCTCCAAATGGGTGAGGGGCACAAAAAACGCTGCGTCCAACGTGAAGCGGGCGGTTTCCCGCCGGGTGCGCTCCAAAAGGGAATAGGAGGAGGGGAAGGGGGCACAAAATTAATGCGCCCAACGTGGGGCTCGAACCCACGACCCTGGGATTAAGAGTCCCATGCTCTACCGACTGAGCTAGCCGGGCGCTGACGGTTGACTCCACAGGGTGGATCCTTCAGCGCATGACGCGTGACGTCACACCCGGGGGCCGCCGCTCGGCGCCCAATGCGCGTGCGCGTTGCTGCGCGGTGCGCGCGAGCCGGGCCGGGCTGGGAGCGGCGCCGCCATGAGCTCCATCGGCACCGGGGTGAGTGCGCCGGGATCGCGCCGGGAGCGCGGGATCGCCGGGATAGCGCGGCTGCACCGCCCGCCGGGACCGGCCCCCACCGCCCCCGGGGCCGCCCTGCGCCGGGGTGAGGGAGAGGGGGGGTGGCCGCGGGGCGCTGCGGGAGGGCTGAGTCACTGCGGCCCGTGAGGCCCCGGGAACCGGCGGCGGGGGCGGGGCGGGGATAAAACACTTATTATACTTCTGTGAATAATATACATTTGTTCATTTCAAATGTGTTCCTGCTATCAGGAATTGTAAAATAAACGGGGGCCCGCAGGGAGGCCGGAGAGGGGCTCTTGGTCGGGAGTTGTAGTGAGAGCACAAGGAGTGATGGGTGGAAAGTGGAAGAGGTTGGGTGTTGGAAATTGAATTTAAGTTGGATATTGGGAATAAATTCTTCCCTATGAGGGTGGTAAGGCCCTGGCACAGGTTTGCCCAGAGAAACTGTGGCTGCCCCATCCCTGGAAGTATCCAAGGCCGGGCTGGACAGAGCTTGGAGCAACCTGGGCTAGTGGAAGGTGTCCCTGCCCACGGCAGAGGTGGAATGAGGTGGGCTTTAAAGTCTCTTCCAACCCAAGCCAGTCTGGGATTCTGTGAAATGTGAAGGCAGACAGAAAGTTCCCATAAGTCTGATACATTGTGTAATGCACAGGGATTTCAGACCCGTTCAGCATGTTTATTGATGGGATTTGCAGTTTCATCCAGCACTGATGAAATGGCCTCTCCTGGCTTTTAGGCTCTGTCTTCTCCTGTCTCTGTATGTCCCACCCTGCTCCTGGGAGTGCACAGCCATCTCTGTCAGTGACAGCCCTGCATTTTTAAATAAGTAAACTTGATCTTTAAACACTGGGATACGATATGTTTGGTTTTATTCCCTGAGCATTGTGTTTTCTCCTCCAGTACGACCTGTCAGCTTCCACATTTTCTCCAGATGGCAGAGTGTTTCAGGTGGAATATGCTATGAAAGCAGTGGAGAACAGCAGGTAAGATACACCTCTGTCTGTTTGCTGACCTCTTTTAAAGCAGTGTCGTTGGACTACAGAAACATAATGGTGTTGCAGGTAGAATTATGATGTTAAAATTAGTTCTGATCTAAAAGCCCATTTTCTGGATGTGAACTGAGGCACTGAAACATGCTCAGGGCCTCCATGTGTAATAACTTCCTAGGGATTCCTCAAGAAATGGAGGACATCCAAGTTCTGCTAAAGCTACATCAGCTCCTCTGGGAATATCTGTCTTCCCTGGAGTTTGTGCAGAGGAATGTTGTGAAGGGAAAATCCCAGTGAGATGAGTGATTGGCAAGGCACAGATGGGTCACCCTGGTGTCTGCTCATAGCCACAGGCTCCAGATAAGGATAAATCACAGAAGGGTTTGAGTTGGAAGGGACCTTAAAGATCACCTCATTCCAACCCTCTGCCATGGGCAGGGACACCTTCCACTAGCCCAGGTTGCTCCAAGCCCCATCCAGCCTGGCCTTGGACACTTCCAGGGATGGGGCAGCCACAGCTTCTCTGGGCAACGTGTTCCGATCAACCTGTTCCTTGGTTAGCCAGGTATTTGTGGTTGCCATGGTTGGTAGTTTATGCCTGATGAGGC